TACTTCTTGCTGACAAGTTTAGAGTTTATCACTCACTAATAAGACTTAGTACTGTGCAGGCTCAGGTGTATAGTTGATTCTAGTAAAGAAAACTCGCACTCTTTTAGTGTGTTCAAGTGTTTTTTTTTTTTTTCATATTTTGCTAATCTCACCAAAATTTTCAACAAAAAAGTGGGCATTTCAGCTTATCCCTTCCAAAAGATCAGTATTGTTTATACTTTCTATTTTCAAACAAACGAAGTAGGACATAAACTCAGAATTGTTTTGGCAATAATGGCCCTACACCATATAATGAACCAATCAGTGCTCTGGTTAATGAACTGACCCAAATTGGATATGATAGTCAGAAGAAATTTTAACGATAAGGCATAGCTTTACAACAGAGATATACAAGAATTTTAAATTTAAAAATTAGTTTCATTTAAATATAATTAGGTATATAATTTTTACAACTATGCCTAGCACAGGCTATAATAGTGCTTTTATAGATTTATTTTTTTTCTGCCTTTTTTTTTTTTATTTGTTTTTTTTATTTGTTTTTCTTGTTACTTAGATATTTTTTTCTTTTCTCCTTTTGTTTTATTTCCTTTATCTTTTTTGTTAGTATTAGTTTTTTTTTCATAAGTCAGTTGAAGACTATAAATCCTTCTACTTAGAAAGCTAGGAGAAGAAGGTTAGGAAAGAAGACAATCTTAATAGGCCATAAATACTATTCAGTAATATATTGAAAAATTCATTTGCAGGGTTTTTTAATATGGAGATAAACTTTACTATAGCAGATCAAACATGGGTAATTTGGGTATTTTAGTGTTACAAAGAGCCAGATCAGTCAATATTTGTAATTTAGGTGAACTTTAGGCAACTTTAGTCAAACTTGCATTTTTATTTGAAAGTTCAAATAAGCATATCTAATAAAATATTGACAAGATTGCCAAATTGACAAAAAAGAATATATATATAATAAATATATAATAAAAATATGATAAACATATTACTAATTTAAAAATATAGATCTTCTTTAGTATAGCTAGGCAATATAGAAATATTATAAAATTATAATATAAAAAAACTCTAACCCTAACTCTAGAGCTAACTATAAACATTACTATAACCCTTAATTAACTCTAACTAATTCCAAATTTGCTTAAATTAGTTCAAATACTATGTTTATATATTATAATCTTATAATAATTCTATATTGCCCAGTTATACTAAAAATCAACCAAAAATATTATAATTATATTATTATTATATACTAACAATATATTAATTATGTATTAATTATATATATAATAACTCTATTATAGCTATATTTTCCAAAAATAAAAGATTTTAGTAAAGTATATTTGACTTGTTATAGCAAGATTTACCTATTTCCGAATCCCTTTTGCAATTGGATATGACCTGACTCTCAACAGCTAGTTTTTGCTGCCTATTATAACTACTTTCTCTTCTTTTAGACTTTTCGTATCTAAGCCTGACAAAATAATTAAACCCTTATTCGTATATAAAAATAAAAAAATAAAGCTATGTTTATGAAAGACATAAACATTTTAGAAAAAAACATCTCATAGTAATAAAAAAAACAGATATCAAAACAATTTTTAAAATAATCTAATATAAATGAACAAAGATGAAAAAAGCAAAAAAAGAAAAAGTAGCCATGATACACTATTATAGTTTGTATTAGATATTAAGATAAAAATTATATAATAATTGCAACTAATTAGGGGGCTGACAAATATTAGCTCATTATACCCCCCTTGGGATTTTTACTTAGTCCCACCCAGAGTTAGTCATTTGATACAGTAAAATTTACAAAAAATGCATAATTAGGTTTTTGACAGTTGACAGCATAAACTGTTAAAAACCTAATTATACATTTTTTATAAGTTTTACTGTGTCAAATGACTAACTCTGGGTGGGACTAAGTAAAAATTCCAAGGGGGTATAATGAGCTAATATTTGTCAGCCTCCTTACTATATCTCTGTTATAAAGCTAAGCTTTATTCTTGGGACTTGTTCTGAGCACCAACTTGACTTGGATATCTTTTAAATAGAAGCATTGATCTCTTCTTTGTACCATAGTACTGTATTGATTACCAAAACAAATACATAGTTGTATTCTACTGAGTCTATCTGAATTTAGTAAGTATAAACAATGTCGATCTTTTGGAGAAGATGAGCTAAAATACTCACTTTTTTAAGAAAAAAAGTAAAAAAGGTAAAAAGTGAAAAGGAGATAAAAGAAACACTTGAAGGTACCAAAAAAGTGTAAATATTTTTTTAACTGAAATAGAACCTTCCACCCAAGCCTGCACAGTAATAGGTCTTTTCGGTAAGTAATAAACTCTGAGCTTGTTAGCAGGTAGCATATAAGAACTACCTCTAAATGGCAAGTGCCATGCCTGCAATAAGTAATAAACTCTAAAGCTATCAACAAATAGTATATGAGAACTATCTCTAAATAATAGCTGCTGTCTTACGGTCCTATTTCCCATATCTCACATTAAGGCTTTTAGCCAAGCCACAATGTATGTTATCTTCTTCTATTAGAAAAAATTTTTGGAAGTGGTGGTTCAGATGATCATCAGAAAGAGTTATGTTTTTGTTTTGGTCACCTTAATAATTAATATATATATATTTATATGCTATATATACACAACTTTTAGGTTTAGGCCACAAATAAGTTTCTATATTTACTTAGTTTTACTTAGTTATATATCTGAGCTCTTATTCTTAGCACAAAAAGTTTCATTAAGTATAATAAAGATTAGCAAGGCTTCACCTTAAACATTAAAATATATACTATATATACTGTATATATTAACAACTTTTAAATTTATTTAATATAATTATAAGTTTGATTTTTTATTATTATTAATTATAAATATATATTTGTTACAAATTAAAAAATAGTTTGAATCAATTAATTATTAAATTATACAGTATAATATAATATATATATATATATATATATATCAGATATATTTATATAATAAAAATAAATATTTTATTACTATAAACAAAATAAATTTAAGCCAATAGTTATAAATTGGCTATTTTGTACTCGTATAAGTGGCGCCAAGAGAAAAAAGCCTGAAAATTTTAGATGATCTAAAGCTGTGTAAACAAAGAATTTTAATATACGTGAAGCAATATTTCTATTTGTAGATGGAGTCCGTTAAAGGTAATTCAACTTCGAGGTATAAACTCTATATTTGAAGAATACATAGATAGTTAAGGACATAAAAATAGGAATCAATATTTTATTTAAAACCCGAGACCAAAAATAGCATACAAAGAATTATTGAAGTCTGACATTTGACATCGCTTAATTACTAACAATCATGCAAGGATTCATACTTGATAATGACCATACGAGAACTCAAAACGCCCATTATCACATGTAAATATTGTTTGAAAATCCATCCAAAAGAACATCTATAAAGATCTATACAGTAGACTGCATATGAGCGCAGGAGATAAACAATCTTTTTACTAGCGACTATGACAAATGATATGATAAATGGGAGAAAATTCGGTAAGATCCAATGCAATAATGTTAGCACTCGAAACGGTAATAGTAAATGCAAACTTGTGAAACGTATTAAATGTCGAACGATTTTCCATTTTAGGTATTAAGATGAATTGTCCGGTTTACTAAAATTTCCTGTAAAAATAAAACTCGAATAAATGGGCTAGATTAAAAAAAAATTCCAGGGACAAACAGATTTAACAAGCATAACAAATGATAACGATAATGTAACCAAATCTAATAGTTACGTTACTACACTACACAATCGAAAATCGGTATGTTCTATTTTAAATATATATTTCAAAATAAATGATTGCTTTTAATTTCACGGATAGATTGTTCATTCAGATTCATATTCAAGATCCTAGACTCACCTATCCTTATTTTTTTATATTACGTACGTACGTACGAACGAGAATCGGAAGTGATACGAAATAGTTTATGTACACAAAATTTCAATTAATTAAAATTGTCATTTGAACCAACATTCATAATTAATATCATGTTTCATACTTGTTAAGTGTTACACTCAAAAATATACGTACATACGTCATCTCGGGTCAGACAATTTAGCATGTAATTAAAATTTTTTTTTTTAAAAAAAAAGATAATGAAATATTTCTCTATTCCTGCGGTCAGTAAATGTTCAAAGATCAGATAAATCATACAATCGCATTAACCTAACACACGCGAGTGACACATGTCACTACATTGCTGTTTAGATGCAGAAACGCGCCAACAAGGAACCCGAATCATACGTATTTCAGACATTGTACTTTACAGGGATAAAATCATGTGAACTAAAGTGAAAAAGAACTCGCATGACGGCCATGCATGCATGCAATGTCGCAATTTATGCTAGCGTGGCTAAGTGACATGGGTGACGTTAAATATTGAAATAATGACAAAAATTAATTTTACCATTTTTTATTAATGATTATTACGACGTTTGTTATGACAAATTTGTTAATGATGTTATAACCTTGGATAGCAAGGAGTTGAGGAGTCGAAGGGAATATTTGTAGTGAAGACAACGATTTTTAATCTTTTTATTAAATTTTCGTCAAATTTTGCCATAGTATATTAAAATCCGCATTTTATAATCTCATTCTTTGAACAAAAAAAAAAAAAAAAAAAAATGTACATGCCAAAATAAGTCGGCAAAAGGAATATACAAGACCACTACACTCTAGATATTATGATCTGAAAATAATAAAAAAAAATCAAGAAATCTGAGTAAATTTTGTGGTGCATGATGAAAAAAATGAATGAAAAAAATATCAATTAATATCCATAGCTCACACATTTGCTTATTAGCACCCAATTGTCCCTCTAAAAAAAAAAAATCCCAATCTATTTAAAGTTATCTATTCATAATTGTAAAAGAAAATCAAACCAAAAGCTAAAACATCATCCTGTCATCTTATGGAATCAGTTAAAATATATCCCGTTTGTTATAAATTCACCCACGACGAATTATGGCATGATGAGCATGTTCAACATGATATTTTAATCCATTCGGATTCTTATATCGTTTCTCACATTCTGGAAAATTACACCTATATGGTTTGATAGCCGGTTTCTTTTCAACTTCCGTATCTGACAAAGCCGACCGATGACCATGTTCGGTATGATATTTTAGACCGTTCGGGTTTTTATAAGACTTGACACATCCAGGTATAGTACATTTAAAGGGTTTATCATTAGCCTCTTGAGTAGCAGCTTTCGTGATACGGTGACTCTTCGCTTTAAGGTGATTGCTATGGTGATTGTTATGGTTATGGTGATTGTTATGGTTATTGGTAGGAATCGTCATATGGTTATGGTTATGGTTATGGTTACTATGACTAACCGAAAACTCTGTTGTACCATTATGATAGTATGATAACTTTGTCGTTGGTTCTGTTTCATATAACTTGTATACGTTGCTTTTCATGGTGCTTAATGAGCTCTGAATAGATTTAGAAAGGTTTAAGAACTTGATTGAAGAATAGTTGATCTAAAAACGTTCGTTGTATATATTAGATATATTATATATCTAGTTTCAAAGTCACGGACTCAATTTTTTTTTAATTTTTTTTTTTTTAATTTTTTTTTTTTTTTATGAAAGAGACATCAGCTATAGAATAATTTCTCCAATAAGAGGATATTGTTTTTTTTGCACGAGCTGTTGTCACTTGCAGAAAGTGTAACGGTGAAACGAGATCTAAGTTGCCTTGTGAAAAAAAAAAAAATTCGCCATTTTGATTGGTTGCGGGTTTTTTCGGATGCTGATTAAACTTTCAAGAATGCCGATCATCTGATGCTCATCTGCTAAATATAGAAGTCGCAGCCAAATGGCGCAAAAACAGTCTAAAACCCGTTTTCGCCTGCTCCTCAATAATGTAACTATTATCGAAACTTTTGACCAAAGTTATGGTTTGAATTAGGCCAAAATCTTTTTTTAATAATATATAATTTCTATGAGATTTTGCTCAGATTATGTAATCCAAATAATTACGTCGCTGAGAAACTTTACAAATTGTTTTATCGAATAATTGTTCTTTTAAATATATTATTTAACAACAATTTAAAGCGGCCATAAGAGGAAGAATGGATAACCGAAGTCCATGAACACTAACTATTGCGAACATATAATACGAACAGACTTAACTAACCACCAGCCTATAACCCCGGTTTTCGAAATTTCACTAAATAATTGGAATGTAGTAAATAGCTGAAATCTCCACATCATCCCCAAATGATTGGAACGCATACATTGTTTTTTAAAAAAACATTAGATAATAAGCTAGGGTCTTGTACGCATGTACAGCATCTTTTTTTGTGAATTTTCAATTTTGTGCTAGGGAAATTAGGAAATGTAATGATTTAGCGATAGTGGACCGGATTCGCATGTGTTACTTTTTTAGTTTAACGAACCTAATCCACAGAACGGGTCCACTATGAAGCACGTGATTAAAATTTCATTATTTTATTGGTCAAATAAGTTGAAGTGCTTTAATTTATATATAATAATATAAAATTGTAAAAAAATAGGGCTTTGTAATTTACCATCATAGCGGTGTATCGCTACTTCCTCTATGTCAAAATCTGAAAATCAAATCCCGAAAGTTAAAACCCCAAAAGTCAAGTCGCATCGTGTGATGTCAGGTTCCGGTATAATAATGGTTACTAATCATAGGTGGATTTTCATCACACGACGCGACTAGGGTAGAAATTATTACTATTTAGCTACCTGAGATATAATATTTACCCGGATAACCCGAGTAAATTAATATATCTGGGTAAACGGGTCCAAACTCTAGACACAACAATAGGAGATTGTATGGCAGTAAATTACAAATTTTTTTTTTTTTTTTTTTTTTTTTTTTTTTTTTATTTATTTATTTCTTTGGCAAGTCTAGTCATGACTTTGGTCCAGCTATATTATAGTTGACTCTACGCTACTAATGTCACAGGACCTCCATAACCCCATATGGGTATTATGTGTATCCACCTGGTATCCATTATTTGACATTTTCCCGGTTCCCTCATTGGGGCCTAGGTCCGACCGCCTGCACGACACTCCGGAGAGGCCGAAACACCTTATCCTTGGAC